CGACACGGATCGAGTCGATACTACGGTTGTTTGGGTGAGCTTTTCTTCGTTTTGTTTTCTAGGATGGGTTGCTGCGAGGATATCCTTGCACGGACATGCAATCAACTCTCCGACTTATCCCAATGTATGTTTACAAGCTACGTTCAAGACTAAAGGGCATGAATGGTTAGAAACAACGGTTCAGTGTTTATTCGTGCTTGGGAACTCCCAGGGGTTCCCCCAGGAATGAGGACGTAGTCCGTCAGTGTTTACGTCATTTCAAGAACACGGGCTCGTGGAAAACGTATGAACGTCGAATTCTGTCGTTCATACTCTTATGAACGAAAATTTCGTGGTCACGTGACTGACCTCTCATCCACTGGAAAAGCTGTATATCGTGTAAACTATAAATTACAAAATTATTTGTTGATAAATCAAAAATAGTTTTTTCATTTACACCACGGTACAAAATGCAAAATATTCTTACGTGTTTTCACAAACATACTCGGCCGTAGAGCCACATCCGACGTCGTCCCATTCCCCATTAAACACTAAACAGTTTTCTGCCCGAAGCCACCCTCCATCATTATCAGGCTCGCCGTCAGCCCAGTGTGTGTAGGTGAAAGGTTGCTTAGACTCGAGCCAAAGCCACTCTCCCTCTCTGTCCTGGTCACTTCCGGCCAGCCAAACACTGTTCTTGGCTGGAAAATGAAGAATTGAGACGGATGTGTGGTCGTGGTATGGGATAAGCATTTCTTCTGGTCTGGTCTTTTCTATCGGTTAGCATTTGTAAAATTTCTGTGAAGTCATTTTATCGAACTTTAACAGAAATTGTCAAGGTGATATTGATAAACGATGCCTGTTTTCTATCACATTTCAACATGGAATGGGTGGTCCAGTCATCAAAGATGCCGCAATTGGCTGTGCTCCTTGTGCGTGGACGTGGGTATAGGTTCGAACCTTGGAATAACTTTAAATATGTTTCTAGGTTTGTCAGAACCATACCTATAGTGGTGGGTTTCACCAAAAATGGTAAATGGTTGCTTAGAGCGTTCCTCCAACATCAATTTCACGCCGTGATATAATGGAAATGTTAAAAGCGGCGTTACACTCACTCACTCCACAAAGGATCACCTAGAATGACAACTGAAGTCAACATTACAACATTGACCCATGATGTGACTGCATTATGAATTCGACGTTTGCACATAACCACCCTAAATACTGGCTAAATAATAATGACGATCAGTAATGACGAGCATCCGCGTTGTATTGGACAGCAGTGCACTTCAACTCAATGCATTACTTCCCGTTATAAATTTCTTGGGAGGCAGTCCTTAATATGTCTGCTCGTCTAACGATACCATCTTTAAAACTTTTTGAAAACCAAGTTTGAGAAGGCTATTGTCGGGTAATTATGAGAATATATTGGCTAATAATATCACGAGGAACTATGCTATTCCGCGATACTGCTGATGGTTAGAAATCTACCAGCGCTCACGTCTACTTTCAATTTCTCTGGACCGGCATTAAGGGGATACAACAAAGATATAGGTCAGCTCAGAGTCGGTATGCTCAACTGTAAAAATTGTTTCAACTGTATGTTACACTGCAGCAGAGCATCTACCACAATACAACCGGCAGTAGTCCGGACAAGTGAACACACACACACACACACACACACACACACACACACACACACACACACACATATATATATATATATATATATATATATATATATATATATACTGCATAAACGTCGCCATATAGATACGATGGGTTTGAACCCAGTGTTAAACCTTCGACCTAAATTTACGGTATGAACGTCGGAGCTACCACTATGTTCAAGACAATTCTTAAAGATACTCACTTTTTGCTTTCAAAAATTGTGCAAGGAACTCAGTTTTGTCCTTTGATGTATCTTCATAGACTCGCATGTCTTTTGTGTGGCATGCTTTCTGAAACCATGCTCATGTGGTACCAGTAATTGTTTTTTTAAATTTATTTTCAAACAGTTACAATGTCAGATAATGGTACTTGTTATAATTGTCATAGTAAAATACTATGCATATTTACTACAGCACTTTGCCTATAGGGGGCACGGGTGGCCCAGACGTCTAAGGCGCCACGAGTTGTGTCCCTTGGGCACGCCAGAAACCTATGATTGTGTGTTCGAATCCCGGTTCTCCCCGATTATGTTTCTAGGTTTGTCTGCACCATACCGTGCTCGTGGGTTTCACCGAAGTGGTAAACGTCTCAGACCTGCATCACTTCGGGCTTTCCTCCCACATAAAGCTGGCACGCTGCGATATAACTGGAATACTGTTAAAAGCGGCGTTAAACCCAACTCACTCACTCACACACTCACTTTGCCTATATGTTATGGCTAATTCTTCAGGTATATTTACAGGTATTTATTTACCATGCATGGAATGGTAATGTAGATAATTGTCATGGTAGTCTACCACTGATGATTGTCATTTAATCTGACACGCGGTCATTGAAGTATAAACCGTTACGGGTTTTAGGGTAAGCGAGCAGTATATTACTTGAACACTTACGAAAAGAGACAAGAGCAAGTCACAACACTTTTTTTCAAAAGAAGCAGTGTTTTTATTCTTACTCTCCATCTTTTTATGCATCGTAGAAATAGTGAGTATTCTTGTAAATAAGACAAGACGTTATTTCCAACAAGACATTTTGCAAAACATAGTATTCTTACCTCGGCACTGTCGTATGTGTCCATTTTGCTGAAGTATACATGACAGTGGCCTTTGTAAAAGGTACCCCCAAGCTTACATTGTCCTGAAACAGTGTTGTGTTACGTATTTAAACATGTATTTATTACAATTGTCATTTTCTAAAGTCAATGATATTGTGGCTTAAAGGGGCGTTTGCTTGTGATGCGAAATGCACTGCTCACATGGTGCTACCATCAGTGACGTGTGGGTATTGGTTTGAGGATGTGCTGCCTTTTGTTGAATGGACTTCTCAGTTTTCATTATGACACGAGATAACGTTTGTTAACCGCTTTAAAAGACTTTGGTGCATTAATTTGTTTGTTTGTTTGTTGTTTATCGCCGCATTCGGCAATATTCCAGCTGTATGATCTGTAAATAATCGAGTCTGGACCAGACCATCCAGTGATTGATGCCATGAGCATCGATCCACACAATTGGGATACGACGACGTGGATCAACCAAGCCAGCGATCCTGACCACCCGATCCCGTAAGTCGCCTCTTGCCACAAGCAATCGTAAAATTAACACCTGCTTGTGCAGTAATTCAAACAGTTCGATCATAGTTTATTCTTCGTAAGTATAAATGACAACAAGTGTCCGGCGAAATAACATTATTACGTGTGGTGGCTGAAAACATTAAAGGTCGGATATGTTGGATAATGGAAAATCTCAGCTGCAACACTGATTGAATCAGGTCTAGATATGATATCCGAACCAGCAATCAACGCAAGGAATAATTTCTAAATTACTGTCTCGTGATGTCAGAAATGTCGGACACACATCAGAGAAAAAAAGTACACCGTGTGCACACTGTTATTATCAAGCATGAGAATATTGACCTATAATACTCAATGAAGTAACAGCGTATAAGAACACACGATTCTTTCATATCACATGCCACAACCTTTGAACTATAGTTTTGTAATTTGAAAGAATCGGATGTTGCTTAACTTCTTATGAGTAGTATATGTTATTTGCCTACCATTACTTACTCAATATCCCCGAAGGAAGGTGTTTCACGGTAGTTGTTGCGGTACGCGATGAGCTGTAAGATGAAAAGACCTATGAGATTCTCCTGAATAGACGTAATTTACCGTTTTATGACGGAAAGACTGTTCAATTCGACAACACCCCCACCCCCCCTACACAATAATAGGTCTATCGCGATAATATGAAGTCCAACACATTAGGTCTCTCCCGTCTTCCGTCAGAAGAAAGTATTTCGGAGGTAGAGAGGAGCGTTTTGGTCCCCGAGGTACGTTGTTAACAGTGGAAGCGAGGGGATTTTATGAGCGCTGTCGTCATGCCGTTATTGGAGGAGAGGCACATGGAACCCTCGTTTAAGAAACAGAACAAAGAACAAGGGGGGAGGTTGAGGGGGGAGGGCCACTTATTTTTCAATAAACTCACTCACTGGAATCTACGGTAAGTTTGTTTTGACGGGACCATGGACGTGGACGTCAAACGCGGTAGAAAGTTTTCTTGACGCGACACTAACATGGCCGGCCACTCTATGATGACTGAAATCGTTCATGTTGTTCAGTGGTGTGTTGTAGATGGTAGCAATATGGTAAGATTGCATGTGTTCAGGTTCCAACCTTTACGCTTCTGTGATATGTATTGCTAATGCTAAAACTGCCATCATCGGCTGTGACATATAAAACAATCTGAAGAAATACAGTTTGTGTTGCGATTTTTCCGGTTTTTTTTAAATATTCACCAATGAGTCGGAAATTGCTGTTGCTACCTGTTGACTTCCACAGTTAGACACGATTCTAAAGCAGTCGATCCTTTTCACGTGACCATGCATGACACGATCCTAATGTTCTTGTGCCTCTAAAATACATCCTAACGGATTTGGGCACGCTTGCACGTGATCGTTTATATGTAAGGAGTGAGTGAGTATAGTTTTACGCCGCTTTTAGCAATATTCCAGCAGTATCACGGCGGTGGACACCAGAAATGGGCTTCATACATTGTGCCCATGTGGGGAATCGAACCCGGATCTTCAGCATGACGAGCGAACGCTTTAACCACTAGGCTACCCCACCGCCCTTTGTATGTAATGAAACTGTCTTCAAATGCCACAGATTTACGGTAACCGCCGAAGTCAGGGACGCAAATGCAGCGGCTGAAACTTCTTTCGGCCTTATGTAGCTACTAATAATGTTCCCAAAAATATTTATGATTAATATAAGTATGCAAGTACGTCATATTAATTACTTTTTGTTTGAACTTACGTATATTCACACATGAAATCACACATGACGGACGTACATCCCTTGTCGTGCCACTTGTTGTCCTCTCTGTCCATTGCAGCACAGTCCTCGCCAAAGATCAGGAAGGCGTCCGGATGGCCGGGTTGCCCTGGCGCCCAGTTCGTATATCGAGGTACCTCGTTGCTGCCTTTCCAAACCCAGTGACCTTCTAGCTTAGCATCCGAAAGCCCAATCCAAATGCATTCATAGCCTGATGCTGAAGTATAAATTGTTGCTACACATAAGCTACATATTCATATATAGGTTTTCTTGTCATAATTTTACGTATTATACCATAGCTAAAGCATATTAGTCCATTATTCACGTTTCCATCTTGATACAAATTGATTTGACAAGACAATCACCATTTTTCAGCCAATGTATTCTCAAATTTCATTATATACCACTAGGCCGCACTCGCCTTGGCTTCCGATCCGAATATATTGCCCTTTTATGTGTAAGTTGTGCTTTACGCTGCTGTCAACGTTATTCCACTCATATCGGGGCAGCAAGAATAAATACATAATTATTGTATTCACGTGTGGAATCGATCCACGGATATTCTATCCTAGGATTAGGAGTGACGGGCAATGATACCAAGTGACAAATGGCGCTGGACATTCACAACTAGTTGACATTATCCTAGGGCTAGTTATCATCTAGGCAAGGAACTATCTTCGTAAGGAACCAGTTTGATGTGTAATACAATCGTTGAAATGTGTTGGACGCACCAATCCTGAGTAACATTATATATATATATATATATATATATATATATATATATATATATATATATAAACTGGGTAATAATGGTCGTCTATTGCTAAACGGGATCGGGTGGTCAGGCTCGCTAACTTGGTTGATGCATGTCATCAGTCCCAATTGCGTGGATCAATGCTCATGATGTCAATCACTGGATTGTCTGGTCCAGACTCGATTATCTACAGGCCGCCGTCATATAGCTTGAATATTGCGGCGTTAAACAACAAACCAAACCAAACCTTGCAGCAGGTACATACTTCACAGTGATGTCCACACTGGACACTTACGACGGATATACTTGATGTAGTATTCCAAAAACTGTTGATCCCTAGCAGACACAATTTCCACCAGCTTCATGTTACGTTCTTTGCAGATTCTCTGTTATGTAAAGGAAACAAAGCAATTGGATGAATATGTCCTTGTCCTGCAGCACAGTCAGATTGTGTTTCATCCGCTCCATTGTGAGCGACGTGTATTTCATGTATAGTTTGTGACATGTCCAGAATTAGATTGCCGTTCTTCGCTGTAAAACGTTTTGAATAGACGTTTTGCAGACAGATATCTACTTTTCAGTTGAGTACCTTGTGGTCAAAACTATGAGATGTAACAAGTGATTGATTTGCAATATGTGTCATGTGCGAAATTGAAACAATAACTTTGTTGAATTTTGTTTATCACTAATTCCTGGATCGTTAAAATCACTTGAATCAAACTTGTTACGACTGCCAAAGGGCCAAAGCATTATTTACTCCTTTGAGGCCTGAGATTGCAAACATGCACACAACCCCTGTCGTGGGCTGATTACTGACACATGGAAAAATTAAGACTGCAATACATGTTTTTAGTTTGGTGATAGCAGACACACAAAATGTGTTTAGAATATCTTTAAACACATTTAATGACTGTCATTAGACTATATCCTCTTACGGCCTATACATGTACACGGACGTTTCCTATACTCATCGCAAAAACTAAACTGCCGGGCCAAAAGAACTTATGAACAAGACAATTGGAGGTGGATGATAAATTTCAAACGTTATGAAAACGTTACGAAGTTGAAAACAGTCATCTAAACACTCATTCATTCATTCATTCACTCATCAACATCGAACACATCAACATCAATTCCGGGGTTGAATAGGTCTTCAGCAACCCATACTTGCCGTAAAAGGCGACTAACGGGATCGGGTGGTCAGTCTCGCTGACTTGGTTAATACATGTCATCGATCCCAATTGCGGGGATCGATGTTCATGATATTAATCATTGGATTGTCTGGTCCAGACTCGATTATCGGTTAATACATGTCATCGATCCCAATTGCGTGGATCGATGTTCATGATATTAATCATTGGATTGTCTGGTCCAGACTCGATTATTTACAGACCGCCGTTATATAGCTGGAATATTGCTGAGTGCGGCGTTAAACAACAAACCAACCAACCAACCAACATCAACATCAACATCAACACCAAATACATCAACATTGAATAATAGTAACCATTTCTTTTTTTGTTATGTTTATAGCCACCATCACACATGCTTATATGTTTTATGTTGCACGACAGTCTATTATCATCTTCCGAAGGCAAGCGTCTCCACTTGCCTATATCAAAGTCTACTTTGATAAAAAAAAGACTAGTGGATGCTCTTGCCACGGGAAGATGGTCCATTACGGACCCATTCACTGCACTTCTGCCTATATATTAAACAAAACACATTCATGGATTAAATCATTTTTTGTGACAAATTTTAATTCAATTTGTATATTATGAAAGTAAGCAGTATTTTGCGATTCTCGTATGATCCTTGTCAGTTAATATGACATGCTTACGAACCAGTGACAAAGTAGCGACCAGACATTCCTACCCTCGCCTCTGTCCATCCGACCTGTGGGTAGGCCGATATGTAGCACCGTCCCAGGAATTCCTTTCCTCCTTGTCCGCAGTCATCTATTAATGATGTAGTGAAGGAGCTGATTAAATTAATAATGTGTGGAATGCTTAAACAAACAAGGCAACATGTAACGCATGCAATTTGCCACTAAGCAACAACGAATACTCAACAAGCAAAAACGAACAAACCATCGAAGTAATATACCCCGTGAGAACCCAAATTCAGAAAGGTTCCTGTCATCACATAGATGGCCACCAACTTAATCAGCATATCAGACTCTCGGACATTGCTGGTCGGTGCCCATGTTTTCCTTCATTGGTTTGCATTGTTCACATGCAAGTATTTACAGACCGCCGTAGCAAATTGGTGCGTGAAGCGATAACAACATTCACTCGCTTACCCATTAAACTAACTTCGCCGTCGGGAGATGTTCCTGCAAATGTAGACCCGTTCAATCTGCAAAATTATTATGCCTTTGTGTACAATATTGATATAGATGTTATGATTGATTGTGATTGTTTGTTGTTAAACGCAACACTCGGCAATAGTCGAGCTATATGACGGTGTTCATTAAGTAATCGAGTCTGGATCAGGCCATCCAGTGATTGATATCATTAGCATCGATCCCCGCAACTGAGATCAATGACATGCATCAACCAAGTCAGCGAGCCTGACCACCCGATCCCGTTAGTCACCTTTTACGACAAGAAGGGTTGCTAAAGATAGTATTAATAACATAAATGTGAATATAAATGGCTACTATACATCCATCATTCGAGTTTTTCCTAATAGCATTTTAACACTTGATAGAATAATTCTCATTTGAACTCGTATTGGAAGTTTGTGGTGGTGTGTAAATAAAAGCAACAATAAACATGTAAGCGTACCCTGCCCCACCGATGGCTCCCGCCACAAACACATACAAAGGCAAGTCAATTGCCCACCGGAAATACACGGAACACAAGTTCCAAGTCAAAATAGGCAATTGAACCGGGCATAATTTTGCAGGACATTTTGAATTGGCCTCCACAAGTCTAAAATAAGCACTTGTTACGGGAGCTTTGGACCTTTTAAAGATCGTTAACTACGGATAATCGTCGGACATGAAAACACCGCAAGTAGATTTTACAACAATTAGCGTCTATTACGATGCTAATTCTATCTATGTCATTCCCGCTTATGATATTTACATTTTGGCTAAAAAAATATATGAAACTTTCAGTGGATACTGCATTCAGGATATATTCCAGGACTAGCTTGACATACATCATCATTGACACAATCAAAGACAGCAACCGACCGCATGTTAGGCATAAAACTAGTAATTCCCCTGAAAGGGACAATTACGTTTCTCAAAAATAGCAATTTATCCGCGGACTTTCTGTGGGGTTTGTGCGAAGTAACGTATAAGTAAAAGCGTCTTATTTCAATCTTGCTAAATTGCTACAGTACACAAAAGCAAACATATGCGTGTATGCAAACAAAAGGAGAAAGCATTCTGTAACTAGATCTAACAATTTTTATCAAAAACAATTCTAGGTATAAAAGGCAAAATAGCGATGAAAATTATATATGGATCACTGAATATCAGCAAAAACCTTCTTAATGAGCGCATTATGGAAGTTATAGCTATCCTGCTTTCTCGCTTTCTCGTATCGTTCTTTAGCTTTCTCGCTTTCTCGTATCGTTCTTCAGCTTTCTCGCTTTCTCGTATCGTTCTTTAGCTTTCTCGCTTTCTTGCTCTATCACTTGCTCGCTTTCTCGTCTCTTGCTATCGCTTTCTAGCGGTCGTAATTGAAGGCGAGAAAGCGATGTCCCCGTAACCATAGCGATGGCCACCATACAATAGAGAACAGGCACACCAAGGCCTGCCGAAACATCACGGCAGTGCCTTGCTTTACATGCCAGTATAAACTGCCAGGAAAACGAAAGTACACACCCATGTTTGATAATAGTTAAATATTAAACAAACAAGAGATGGTCATTCGATGAAAATGTATTTGATACGGTATCACAGTTGTATTTTTTACCTTAAGTTTGAGCTGTTTGTTTCGGAGACTGTGTTCAGCCTTGTGACGTTTTGATAAAGATTGTAATCCTTTGTAATCCATATTATAGCCAATTTTCAAGCGTATACTATCTTTTTGTCTGGGAGTTAAATATAACTGATTCCTTACTTATTCACCTATTCGCACAGTAGAACAGACAAGCCTAAATACACACCTATATTCACATAGGTAATCAGCTTCCTCCTCGCACTCCATGTCGCTCCAAGTGGAGTGCACTGTTTCCCACGCTAGACAGTTCTCTGCAGTGCCTGTAGATTTACCGTTGTCTGGTTGCCGTCGTCCCCATCTTGTGTAACTGACAGGGAGTCGGGACTCCGACCACACCCATCTTCCTTCTACTTCATCGTCACTTCCGGCCATCCAAACTAAACCATTACCTGTCACCAAGGAACAATCCCAAGTATTGACTTAGTGCAAAGAAGCATTCCTTCACTCTAATACTCAAATCGCAGTGCCTAAAGTGACATTGCCCAATTGCACAGTATAAAATCTACTTGGGCTTTTAAAATGATATATGAAAGATATGGAAAGTGAACTAAATAACAGTCATATGTAGTTAACACTGATCAACTTACTCCTTGTTTTAAGAAATTGTGCAATAAACGTAGACTTCTCCTTCGTTGTATCTTCATAAAGGGTCATTTGGCGTTCGTGGCACTTGGCCTGAAATACGTGTTTCATTATAATGTTGACCATGTCTATAAACAGATATCGCAGACAGTGACTTCATATTCATGATTACGTCGGGAGCCTTCAATAATAGTGTCTTAAACAACAGATAAGACACAAGTTCACAACGTCAGTGCCGGAGAATATACAGTCTTGAATTTCTGCTGAAACTGATGTCACTGATACTTAGAGATTCATGTATATAAAGATTCACTGTAATAGGTCGTGCACAGTGAAAGGCGTGGAAATATAAAACGTCAATGACGGAGAATAACCAGCCTCTATTATCCGCCGAAACAGATTCCATTTGGCAGAAAGGCAAAATAGTGATGAAACATATGTGAATAAATCACTGAAAATCAATAATGACACCAGGTGTTTGGGAAAACTATTTTCTTGAATGCCCTGCCCTACCGATAACACAAACCACATACGCAATACTTGCTTTAAAAGGGCAAGTGCTTGTGTGTTAGCAGGTGTGAAACCCCCAAATAAAGATAGCATGAGATGGTATCGCACATCATGAAGACAATTGACGTGCCACATTCAGTAAATGCCTGGAAATGGCGACCATTCAATTTCGAGAAAGACTTGGATGGTAAAACCTTGATAGAAAAGCTTAGTCATGAGCACATTATGACGTATTCCATGCAGTTTGAATCTAATGTACATACCGAGCTCTGAAAACGTGTTATTATAGCGGTGTTGTCGAGATGTGTTAGCAACGCCTACCTTTGCAGTCTCTGCTGTTTGGGGGTCATTGAAGAGGACATAACAGTTTCCAAGGAAGAACGTTCCCCCAAACCGACATTGCCCTGAAACACACAGCCTCTCTTTAAGGGGATTATTATAATTTCAACACCCTGACCGCTATATTATGTTAAAACCACCACAAACAAGAAAATACAAAACTATATAAGATCGTACCCTACTGCGAGGGGTATATACCTTGCCATAACATTTGTTCAAGGAATATTTCCTTGAGATCAGCGAGGAAATACGACAGCATTCGACTCCTCTAGGCCTACTCCATTACCCCAAAATACCCATGGCAGGAGTAGAGAAGTGACATCATGTTTCACTGTACCGATCGATCTCTCAGCTTAGATACAACTGAAATGAAGTTGATTACTGATAGCAATATGAACGAATTTGATGTTCTTTAACTTCTTTAGAGTAGTATATTTTCAACATCATTGCGTCGAATTGGGAGACAACACGTGTGTGTATGGGCAACAGATTTGCAAATGATATTGATTGCTGCAGATTGTGTTATGTATTGTGATAGTCACGTAAACCAGCGAAACTAGGAATCATGTCTGTAATGGATTCTCCCGAATGCAGGGCGAGATGCCACATGGGACTGACGTAATGTGACGTACATGTAGATGTAGATGATACATGTTTTATGAACAAGGTTGGCAAAGAAGGGTGCAGAATCAATGTATCCTAATTTCCTGGCAGAACTGTAATTTACTTGACGGGTAAAATGAATTCTTGAGAACGACAACTAATTTACCCCGGAGAAACTGAGGGAAGTATGGAATACTGTAAGGGACATTCTCGCGATCTCGACCTTTGGAAACGAGGTAAATATGCCCAAATTTGGCCAAAATCTCGCGTTCTCGCGATCTCGCATTCTCGTGTTTTGGGCATATTAAACTCGTTTCAAAAGGTCGAGATCGCGAGAATGTCCCTTACAGTATTCCATCGGAAAGTAATTTTCAAATGATAAAAATTTGTCTTTGTTAAAGACACAAAACAAATTATGTTAAGCTAATAAGGCTTGCATCACTTTGGTCTTTCCTCCCACATGAAGCTGACACGCCGTGATATAACTTGAGTACGGGCCACAGCGGTGTTAAACCTAACTCACTCACTTCAAGAGCAGAACCAGACCTAGATCACTATGGATTGCATTTTTGTCAGGGGGTTGATTGGATTGAGTAATCTGATATAATTGTTTCTCTGCTACCCATATTAATTATTTTTGAAGAAAAGATGATATTAAAAGAGAAGCATTTATAGATAAAATCGAAACGTGTTGGAATGGAAACGTTGTTTGTCTAGCATGGCCGCTTGAAGATACATCCGCACACCCACCTTCCGTCGTAACAAACAAGTGTCTATCACGGGTGTCCACACACAGGATGCTTTAGCAAAGCCTCATGCATATTCATCGTCCAAACCACCCTTTGAGGCATCGAATTCCGCTCAAAGGTATTGTGATTAACATAACCCTACCTTGTCACAAGAAGTAAATGTAACATTATTCGCAACGACTACATACTCAGTTGCCCTGGTGGAGGTGGCTTCACGGTGGTAGGAGTGACAGTTGTTGTGGTGATGTTGCTGAAAGAGTATTGAACGTAGTGTCTTGATACTGATTGGTTGAACATGATTAAACAAAATCTAAATCCGCTTTCATCAATTTTAAACTTCAAACTCGTAAATTACCACATTGGTGATATTGCAGTCGTTCAAAGTTCAATATTTTAATGCTCATAGATGTCTTGGTATTTTGTTGTGTTCACTGCGTAATTCGTTTTGGGTATGTCTAAACGACACTTTTAAGTCAAGCTGTTGCCGGCACATTCCCATACAGTCAATAATCTGGAACTAAATGTCAAATCGCCAAGGTTAAGGCGTATATGTCTAAAGAGAGGAAAACATTATGTGCACGTTTCTTAACCATGACTCTACATTGCATCCTGGTTGCTTGGCAACATATTGTCATTATGATGTCATCAATTGAGAGGTAGAAATGCGGATCCTGGGGAAGGGTGCAGATGTGCGCATCCCAATTTTGGGGGAAGGGAAACTAATGGAACTAACTACATATGAAACACAGATTGTACAACAATGCTCGGTCAATGTCTTGACGTTGTATGAGTGGCTTGTGTCAAACTGAGACGATGTGTTTTGTAACTAGAATTACATGAATTCATCAACTGCAAGTTGAATGTGCATCATTAAATTTCTGTTAACAGACAAAGATAGCGGTTTGGGGAATGAGTCAGCTAGCTCTGCCAACTGACCCGACACTAGTTTCCCTTTAATAAGAAAATACCTTCTTAATGTTTTAAATCTTTGTCATCGTCATCCTTTTCCGGTTAAATTCCAAAATTCACTTCTACGATTTCGTCAGTAAATAACTCACGCGTGTTCACAAATGAATTGGCAACGTGCTGAACAAGAATCGCGGTGCCATAAAAGTCCATCCTTATTCATGGACACACATTTGTTAGTCCAAATAAGAGATCTCGTTCCATCCGGGTGATGTTTGGCCCAGTTGGTGTAGTCAGCTTGTTCTAGACTTCCTTGCCATACCCATCGCCTATTCGACTCTTGTAGAGCAGTCCACACGCAGAAGTAATCGACGGCTAAAATAAAGTGTTATATATTAAATAAACGTGCATTAAATATACCATAATATATATTTTAATACATAATCATATCAATATGGAAATATGGTTGACACAATGAAACATTACCTAAAGAGATGTAATAATTGAAATCAATATCATTACAGTAATTTCACAATTTCAGTGTTTAGAACATTACGACCGAGGCGCGAAAAGGTCGCGTCGCTGATGGGATAGAGGGGTCGTTTTGTGCACCTCTTTTCAAGACAAACGTTATATGAATCGCGAACGTACAGCGACATTTTGGCGGCTCGTTCGCGATGGTTTTGTTTTAGCATTAGAGTATTTGTACCAGCTACTGCTTGCATATGTATGGTGTATCCATTCAAGGTAATACATACTCGCCATGCTTTCTTAGGCTATAATTAGTCAACATTGTAAACTCTCTAACAGAGGTAGTTATATGTTTATAAAAAAACAAACCTAAATAAACCTAACCTTTAAGTGCAAGTCTCATGGGTATACTAGAATATGTTACAAGGAATAAGTCAAATCAGGGAATGTGTATAATACCTTACAATGTTAAACTGATATAATTCACCTTAAATTAAGGTTACATGACACGCCCCTACTACCAATACTCTTGACATACATGGAATCCATATCGGTAGTACATATATATGTACAACACAGGTCTCACAACAACTACAGAAACGGTCGCGTATTATCTGTACCCGACAAGTACCCAATCAGGCCTAGCCGGCAGTGCTAATTAAGCTACGCCTCCTCGTTCGCGCTTTTGAGATTCGTTTTGGTTGTTACAAATACAGACCTCAAAACACGTACTTATAATTCAACGCAAGAGCGCTAACTTTTAAGTTTTGAGTCCTTTTTTCTCACCAATCGTATTATACATCGTACTGGTTGCAAAATGATGTAAGAAAAATATATTACTATTTGTCATGACACTTGCACTTTTTTATCATATTTGTTACCATAATATATTTACATAAATTGCTCTCTTAAGTTGGTAATGAATACTTCCGTTATATGCATGATGAGTCCAATACGCAATACGTACGGTTAATATATTTCATGAAATAGTCAATGAAATCTTGAACTTTTTCGGATTTTATTTCAAGCAGTCGCATGTGTCTCTCTTCACAGTAGGCCTGCGATATGACGGAAACAAGAACATAAGCAGTTATGAACAAATAATCTGAAACAAACTTCATTTGCTTATGTTTAGTAAGTTATGTAACAAACACCACGTCACATTGCCGAGTTTGGGTGAATTGGGTTTTACACCGCCTTCAGCAATATTCC